AATGTAGGAATACAGCCATTCAAATCTTAGACCCCAACACAGTCTAGCATAAGATTCACTTTCCCAGTACTGTCATCAGTTCCTTTTGAGGCTGGTGATGCATCTCTGTGCCCAACTCAGGGAAACCCCCTCCTGGGGGAATAGGCATCAACGTACAGTCCCTAGGTGCTCATCTCTCAAATGGCAACCCTTCATTTCACTGGGGTTCTCCATGAACTAAGCTCCTTCCACCATATTTATGGGATCCTGCCATGAAGGAAGTGAATTCATCCTCCTTCCTGGAAGAATTTAAAAGAGACACAATCTTAAGTGGGCCACCTAGTAGACCGAACCTCAACCTGCCTACAGGCAGAGAGGAGAACAGGTCTAGATGGAAGAAAGGCAAACCTCCTGTGAATTCTGGGGTAAGCTTGTGATTGGTTGTTAGGACTCTGATGCTCCTAACAAACAATGATGGTATAGAGACTGCAAAGCCAGAGGAACCTGGAGACCTGCACTGGAGACCTAAGAGATGCAGGGGCTGTGGATGTTAGGAAAGAACAGAGACTGTAGGCTGCCCTAAAGTCCTGTATGAGACCTGTGTGAGAAGCCACTGACCCTAGCTGTAGGCCGGATAAGACCTTGCAACAAGGCAGATTTGGCCCATGGGCCATAGTTTGAAGACCCTGCTGAGAAAGAGAAGGGGTGCCTGATCAGGTCTATTAGACTACAGAGTAAAATGGGCAACATGGTCAACTATGCTGCCTATTAGCTAACTATATGGTCTTATTTACAGTTGCAAGAAAAAGTATGTGAACCCCTTGGGATTACGTGGAGCTTTGCATGAATTGGGCATAAAATGTGCTCTGAACGTCATCTAAGTCACAACAATAGAAGAACACAGTTTGCTGAACATAATACTACACAAACATTAGATGTTGCCATGGTTTAATTGCACATAACATGTAAACATTCACAGTGCAGGGAGGAAAAAGTATGTGAGGCCCTAGCTTAATGACTTCTCCCAGAGCTAATTGGAGCCAGGAGTGAGCCAACCTTGACTCCAATCAGTGTGATGATATTGGATGTGTTGCTGACAGCTGTCCTGCCCTTAAAAAACACACACCTGTTTTGGGTTTACTGGTTTCAAGAAGCACTGTCTGATGTGAACCATGCCTCGCAGAAAAGAGCTCTCAGAAGACCTACAATCAAGAATTGTTGACTTGCATGAAGCTGGAAAGGGTTACAAAAGTATCTCAAAAAGCCTTGATGTTCATGTGTCCACGGTAAGACAGACTGTCTACAAATGGAACATATCCAATATCATCACACTGATTGGAGTCAAGGTTGGCTCACTCCTGGCTCCAATTAGCTCTGGGAGAAGTCATTAAGCTAGGGCCTCACATACTTTTTCCTCCCTGCACTGTGAATGTTTACATGTTATGTGCAATTAAACCATGGCAACATCTAATGTTTGTGTAGTATTATGTTCAGCAGACTGTGTTCTTCTATTGTTGTGACTTAGATGACGTTCAGAGCACATTTTATGCCCAATTCATGCAAAACTCCACGTAATCCCAAGGGGTTCACATACTTTTTCTTGCAACTGTAGATACACAGACCTCATGTAGCAGGAAGGTAAAGTTATGAAAATTAAGGTTGTCTAAAAGACTGAATGTCTGTTTATGTGACTTAAGTTGGGCTTTGAACTGTTAGCCAGAAAACCAAATGTAACTGAGCCCCACCTCTGGGGATCACAACGTATGTATTATTCTGTTAAGTGATTATAAGTAATATAATATAACTCCATGTGATTAATTCCCAAAGCTTTGCTTGGTGATAAGGATCTAGAATTTCAGCCACGTGGCTTTTATTTTTAAATAAATTTGCACTCATCCAAAAAATGAATAAATATGATTTTCCTGGTGTCCTGGTTTTGTGAACCGAACTGCATATCTGTATGTGGTTCTAGGGGAGACAAGGTGTACAAAAGTTCCAATTCAGATGGTTGAGTTTATTACCAGATTGCCCATCTGAACCTAGCCATAATATAACATAATTAGTGACTACTGCCTGACAGCAAAACATTCACATCTCTGACCACAATACTATCCCTTAGCAATGCAACACCATAAGAAAGAAGGCCACAGATTTCAGTCTCCCAAGTAACTTTTCAGTAAACATTTTCTTAAAAATTTGTTCATGTGACTAGATGTTGTGCAAAATAAGGAAGACAGAAAAAAATATATTGCAAGACTCACATGAATAAACACATAGTTCCTGAAAAGTCTCTGAAACTGCACAGATTAAACATATTGATGGGCTTGGTTCATGAAAACTGGAGAAAATAAAATGAGCACACAATTAAAAATTTCACCATTAGCAACCAATACCATTCTTTATATTTTTCCATATAAAGGCAAAATCTGGTTGTTATTGACAGCAACTCAAATTTTACAGTTTAATTATTTAGTTTTTCCTGTTTCGGGCTGACAACACTAAGCCACTGCCTCTGAATTAGAGGCAGCGTTGTCAGCTTGACAAATGAGCTTCTTTAGTTTGTTTTTGGGGTTGACTATTTAATAGCCCTGATAGCCAGTCCAATCGCCATCTGAAAGAGTGCTTGTGGCAGGCTGGCAAGACTGCTTTTAATTGTGAGGCAGTGGCTCCAAGCTGTCAGTCTTCAACAAGAAAAGTCATTACTGATAGAATCTCCAAGTAAAAAACTTCAATAGATTCACAAAAAATAATTTGCTTATAAAAAACTATTTACAGTTAGACATAATGCCAAACTTACTGAAAATTAGATTCAGGGTTTACACAAACATAGAGTAGATGTAAAGGCTAAAGGCTTTTTACCTGATTGCATTCTCTGCATTGAGGTAAAAAGCCTTTTTTCAGCTGCTGTCTCTCTCTTTCTCCTCACTGGCTCAGAGACAGCAGTGGATGCCATTGGCTCCTGCTACTGTCAATCACAGCCTGTAAGGAGAGAGCAGGGGATGGGCCACGCTTTGCTGTCTGGGCCTATAGACACAGGCAGTGTGTCAGGATTGAGCCCACAGGTGTGCCACTAGAGGAAGTGGCTTCCTATGGTGGACCATCAAGAAGAGGAAGTGCAAAGAGTGCTGACGGGGGACCTAAGGAGCGCTGACTGGGGTGCCATTGGCTCTGGCTGCTGTCAATCACAGCCTGTAAGGAGAGAGCAGGGGGTGGGCCATGCCTTGCTGTCTGGGCCTATAGACACAGGCAGTGTGTGTCAGGATTGAGCCCACAGGTGTGCCACTAGAGCAGTGTTTCTCAACTCCAGTCCTCATGGACCCCCAACAGGTCATGTTTTGAGGATTTCCATTATTTTGCACAGGTGATTTGATCAGTTTCACTGCCTTAGTAATTACCACAGCTGTTTCATCTGAGGGAAATCCTGAAAACATGACCTGTTGGGGGTCCATGAGGACTGGAGTTGAGAAACACTGCCCTAGAGGAAGTGGCTTCCTATGGTGGCACATCAAAAAGAGGAAGAGCCAAGAGTGCTGATGGGGGACCTAAGGAGAGGAGGACTGGGGCTGCTCTGTGCAAAACCACTGCACACACCAGGTAAGCATAAACCTATTTATTATTTCTTTTTAATTTATCCTTCACAATCACCTTAAATATTTTATGTATGACCTTGGTCATGAATACAGCCCCCAGGGTGTTACTTGATGTCCTACCCCAAACGTCTTCTGCTGTGAATATAGGTTGCAAAAACCCAACACGTTTCCTGGTTTTGAGAAGTGTTCCTTTTTCTCTTGAAGAAGATGAGGTTGTACTGTACATCACAGAGTCATTTGACAGGATGCTGCACTTCAGCCAAGAAAAACGTACTCATTTTGATTGATATAACCTGTCAATAGCTTTAATTGTTATTTATTGACCATATTGACTGTTATGGAGAGGGAGATTTTATGTAGTCCTAACACATGGTGATGGAGTTCTAAAACACTTCCTGTCCTAGGATGACAACGCTGCTCAGTACTGTTGTCACCCTAGGACCGAAAGTGTGTTAATGGCAGGATTACCAGGTTAAAGGAAAAAAGTATGAAAAAAGAAAATCAATGCAGCCTTTACATCTAAGCACCGGTAAGCTGCCATGCTATAAATTTTTGTTCTTTGGTTTGGATACACTTTAAGTGGGACAGTGCTAGATCCTGTGTCAGCCTTTATTGCTGTCTGCTGTCCCTGTTGCAGATTCTCCCTCAGTTTCTGTCTAGAACAAGGTTGTCTCCAGAACAGAAAGTGAGGGGAAGTCGCTCTAATGGAGCCTCGAATAGCTGTAAAACCTGACAGTGGTTCTAACCCTTCCTCACTCTATCCACAACCACGAAAATAATTTGGCTATAATTACACACAAGCAATCCTTTAGTATACGAGTCATGCAGTCAGAATTATATTTAAAATTATTTGATCATTGATTCACTAAAAAATGAGAGCCTTTAACCATTAGCCTACAGGGCACTTATACCCCCTTCCTGCCCAGGCCAATTTCCAGCTTTCAGCGCTGTCACACTTTGAATAACAATTGCGCGGTCATGCAACACTGTACCCATATGACATTTTTATAATTTTTCTGAGACCAATAGAGCTTTCTTTTGGTGGTATTTAATCACCCCTGGGATTTTTTTATTTTTTCTTAAACAAACAAAAACCACTGAAAATTTTGAGAAAAAAACGTTTTTTCTTAGTTTTTGTTATAAAATTTTGTAAATAAGTGATTTTTCTCCCTTCACTGATGTGCGCTAATGAGGCTGCAGTGATGGGCACTGATAGGCTGCACTGATGGACACTGATAGGTGGCACTGATGGGCACTGATGAGGAGGCACTGGTAGGTTGCACTGATGGGCATTGACAGGCATCACTGATGGGCACTTAAAGACAGCATTGATACATGACACTGATACATGACACTGGTATATGGCACTGACTGGCACTGATAGGCGGCACTGACTGGCACTGATAGGCGACACAGACTGGCACTGATAGGTGGCACTGATTGGCAGCACTGATTGGCATGATAGGTGGCACTGACTGGCACTGATGGGTGACATTGAAAGGCAGCTCAGATGGGCACTGATATGTGGCATTGATGTGCACTGGTATGCACTGATATGTGGCATTGATGTGGCACTGATAGGCACTGGCACGTGGCACTGATGGGCACTGGCACGTGGCACTGATGAGCACTGACAGGTGGCACTTCTGGGGCCACACTGATCATCAGGGCACACTGATCATCAGTGCCCTGATGATCAGTGTACATGTCCCCTCCATGGAAAGCCGATTACCGGCTCTCCTCTCCTCTCGAGCTGTCAGCGTGACAGCTCGAGAGGAGAGAAATGCCGATAACCGGCATTTCCGTGTGTACATGTGATCAGCTGTGATTGGACACAGCTGATCACATGACCGAGCCGACATCTTCGGCTCTTTCCCTGATCCGCTGTGTCCGAGGGACACAGCGCACCGGCGATTGCCGCGCTGCGCGCTCCCTGAGCCACGCATGTGCAGTGAGAATGGTAGGACGTCATATGATGTCCTATTAGAACGAGAGAACCACTTTGCGCCCGTCATTGTACTATAGGGCGGGCGGAAGGTGGTTAATATGATCATCTTGATCTATAATTCTAAAGTCATTGCAAATTTAACTAAGGCTAGACTCCAGAAACAGGACTATGTATGTTTATAAACTGTTCCTTCTAGAGAATTGTGAGGTCTCCTTTGCTTACTAGCATACTTGGTTAAAGGGTAACCATAAGTGTTGGTTCGCACTGATTGCAAAAATTCATTTTGTAAGGCTCAAATCGCATCACATCCACACAAAAAAGGTGCAGCACCATTTTTTGCCACACTAGAATCTGAGTAAATGGGTGTTCATACACTTGTGACCTGATTGAGCCAAACAGCCAAAACCAGCTTCTGGGGGGGGTCGTTAATTTAACACTGACACCCGATGTGGTTTGGGAAAAGCACAGGAACCGCTACAAATCCCACAATGCATCAGTGTGAACCAGCACTAAATGTTTGTGGTCAATTTTATTTTCACTTTTATTATACAAGTTATAATAAGAATTATAAATCATCGCTGTCTGCATGTTTATAGGCAGTCTGTATAAACCAACTAAATATGGTCCTGTTGCTGCTAGAAAAGAGTGAGGATGAGTGTGTCCCTTCTCTGACTTCAGCTGTCTGTGTGGTGTCACATCTCACCTTATTCAGCTCTTTGTCTTACAAAGTTACATATTTTGAAAAAAGACACAGGTCCATTTCAACCTATGGGTGTGTCGCTTTTACTCTTATACAATATCCATATCCTTGTCCTTTTCCATCTTTATAAAGTTCCATTACCGTGTTATGCAGGTCTTTTGACAGTTCTTTTATGATCCCCATGGCTCAGTATCTAGCCTAGTCAGTGCTTCCACGTAAGAGCTAACAAACGCATTGACTATTTATACACTGACACTAATTGCAATTTAAAAAGCCACAGATGTGGGGCATCAACCTCTAATTGTCATTTTAGCCCGTGTGTGTCACCTTGTGTGTCTGTACCAAGGCCAAACATTCCAGGGTATGTAAACTTTTGATCATGGCCATTTGGGTGATTTCTGTTATCATTATGATTTAAAAAGGAGCCAAACAACTATTTGATAATAAATGGCTCCATATGATCATCATCCTTCAATAAAAGAGCATTTTTTGCCATGATCAGTCATATTTTCAATAACAATGCCAAAATGTCACAATTTCTGCCAGAGTATGCAAACTTTTGAGCACAACTATATATTCTACTGCCTGCAAAAGACATCTAAAAGTTTTTTGAAAGCTAGAACCACTAGATGAGAAAGTTCCACATTTTTACTGCTCTAACAGTAAAGAACCCTTTCTACATTCTAAGGATTAACCTCCTTTCTTCTAACCTCAAATCATGACCTTTTCAGGGACATTAGAGTAAACAGTTTATCTCAGTTGCTGAAGTCACCTTTGATATATTCTTACATTGTAATGTAATCCCCTCTTAAGCGCCTCCTCTCCAGAGTGAATAACTGTAATCTATGTAATCGATCCACGTAGCGGAGGTCCTCCACCCCCCTTATTAATGTTGTTGCCCTTCACTGAACTCTTTCTAATTCAACAATGTCTTTCCTGAGAATTGGTGACCAATACTGAATTGCATCATCGAGATGAGGCCAAACCAGTGTTTTGTAAAGGGGTAGCATTATTGATCTATCTGTGGAATGTATGCCCTAGTTAATGCATGACAGTATTCTTCTAGCTTTGCTAGCTGTAACTTGACTTTGCAGTAGTCTGTGATCTACAAGCACCCCTAGATCCTTTTCCATCACTGATTTCCCCAGGGTAGTCCCTCCTAACGTGTGTATTTTTGGCCCCCAAGTGCATAACTTTACATTTCTGAATATTAAACCTAATCTGCCGTGTAGCTGCCCAACCCCCTATTTTATCAAGGTCTTCCTGTAATGATGATGTAACAGTGAAGTTGAAATAAAAATATATTTATTACTAGGAAGAAAGAAAAGATAGAATATAGGACTAAATGGAAATGTCAATTTATATGTACTGCATTAAGGATTGTGAAAAATCCGAACATGGCCTCTTATAATTCATTAAAACTTTTCTGACCATCACTGTCCTATTTTAAATTTCATTTAAATTTCATTAAGCCTAATAAGCATGTTAGGATCTGGAACAGCAGGTAATAAAATGATAGAAGAGATGTGAAGGAATTAGAAATTTAGCATATTCTGTACAGAGTGTAAATTAGAGGGGGCAGCAGTTATGTTTTGCCCCAGACCTGAAGGGACCCATTCCCCCCCACTCTTACCTATCTTCATTTCTACTCCAATGTGTGCTAATGAATAAAAACCTTGTTCCTCTGCATCACTTTTCATGATATACAGTATATATATGTACTGTATGTGAGATAGGTATACTTGATTGATATATGCAGTGCTTCCTTAATACAATTTAAGTGGGTTGAACCCTGCTTAAGTGAGTTAGGTACTGGCCCAGGCTGGGTTGAGTAGGGGTTTGCATGTTTGGCTACGGGTTCATGGGCTTTTTGGGTTCAGCCAGCCCACCTGTGGTATAAATTAGGGGAAAGTTAAGTCCAGGAGCAGCGGTGGACCAGACGGTGTGAGTCTAGGAGTTAGCCCACACACATCATTGTGCAGTGAAGCTGCTCTGAACTGCCAAAAAAGATTAACTTCATTGAGGTTCCACCAGCCATGGACCATGCCACCGATCATGGACTTTCCACCATACATAGACTCTAACACAATTGCAAAGTATGCTTGGGCCGCTCTATAGTTAGTTAGGGATGTTAAGGAACTGTTGGTAATTTATTCTGTATCATGTTGCACTGAAAAGAAGAGTAAACAAATTGTTAACCTTTTCCTGAGCCTATTCTGAAGTTATTCCTAAAGAAATTCATAATAGAGATGGTGTATACAAAGAACCTGGGCTTGTAATTGCACTAAAGGGTATGAAGTACATGGTACTACAGTACTTTGACAGAGAACAATGTCATTACTAAGGGCAACCAAGTTCACCTCTTAGAACCATAAGCAACCAATCTAGGCTTGGTATCTGGAAGAGTGGGGTATTCTCTCTGGTAGTGAGGGGGTGCCAGTTGGGTTCCCTCCCTAGCAGTCCATTTCCCATGGCAACTGGGAGTAGACCAGTGTCACAGGGGTTCCGATGATCCTGATCAGTCTGTAGGGTATAGAAGAACACAGGCATGTATGAGACCCACGCTAAGTGTCTGGCGGGGTTTTATTCCGTTACTGGGAGTGAGGTAGCAGAGGTACGCCGGCTGGTGGAGTGGCATGGTTCATATGTTGTACACTGGTAGTAGAGCAATGGGACTGTTCTTGAAATAGAGAAATATGGCTTTATACTACTTTCAGTGTCATCTAATCTCTGAGTAAAGAGACTGCCTTAATGTCAGACTTTCACATGAACATAATTCCTGTCTGGTCTCGGACATTGATGAGCATGCCTCTGGCAAAGGTACCCCTAGTGCACAGACCTGCTGGGCCCTACCCATAGATTTGCATAGTCAGAGCATCCTAATCACCTTTACCTAAAATCCCCACCCTACAACAAATAGCAACTGGGATTTTTTTTGTATCTGTCTTGTCTTCTGTCTTGTCTATGGACAGTGCATTGAGAAAAAAATATGATCATGAAACTAGGGGATAACGAGCAAAAAAGCAATATACTTAAATCCTAAGTGCAGCCAAAATAAACAGAAAAAAACAGCACAAGGGACATAACTTACACTCGATAGGATGTGTTCCTTGTGCTGATGCCTCTTCTTTTAGATGAATTCCTCCTTTGTCCATATCCCCCCACCTCTGATGTGTAATCTTCCAGTTCAGTGAGGGTTAATAGAACTAAGGGGCTGCAAAAGCTCTCATCAAGAGAGCTCGACTATGTCCATGCTTTCCACCCAGCTGCTCCATTCAGAGAAGCCATACTACAGCTTCTATAAATGGAAAACAATGTATGAATGGAGAGAGCAGACCTTTCAGTTATCTCTGAGATTGTAAGCTCCAAGGAGCAGAGCCCTCCTAACCCTCTTGTATTAAACTGTATTGTTGCTATATTGTCTCCCGTTATATTGTAAAGCGCTGAGCAAACTGTTGGCGCTATATAAATCCTGTATAATAATAATCTGCCTGTCATCCATTCATAGATCATGTTTCATTTGTAGAAGCTGGTCGAGCTCTCTTGATGAGAGCCTATGGCAAACCCTTAGTTCTATTTACCCACACTGAACAGGAAGATTACACGGCAGGGGTGGGGGACATGGGCGGAGGGGGATTTCACCTAAAAGAAGGGGCATCAGCACAAGGGACACATCCTACTGACTGTGAGTTATGTTCCTTGTGCTGATTTTTCAGGGTTTTTTTTATATTTTGGCTGCACTTAGGCTTTAAAACATGAACTCTTATTCTGGCCACACATGGCTGTGGGCTGAAGGAGAAAAAGATTAGTTGAATCCCCCATCCATGCTCATCAGTGTTGATTGAGGAATCCCCACTGCGTGGGGATAGCATTCAGGTAGTTGCATAGCCTGTGGCTGCCTGAGTACCCAAACAGTGACTGCCTGTAATAGGTTGCAGTCATTGTCCAGCTGGATGGTGCTGAGAGGGCCATCCATGACTCGAATTGGCCATAGATAGCCTGATTTTCGACCAATTGCTACTGAAACAGATAATTTAACAGGGAATTTAAGATTCCCTATCAAAGTGAATCTGTTCAGATTGTCATTGTTTGCACCTTATAAGCCAATGTCATCCTATCCCACACCCATGTATAACTTGCCTGAGGATGGTTGGATTGTACATGCAGAAGGTC